GGGGGGCTTTACTGCTTCCATTTTGGCTTGTTCTTCTGCTATAGCTCTGTTAAAATGCCTTGATGGAGAATTGATTGGCTTGTGAAAAGTGTTGGGGGTTTCCTTACTGTTCATTAACTAATTCTTGTATAGGGTTTCCTTCTTTTCTTCATTGAAAAGGCTATTTCTGTACGATAATCTCATATGTTGTGGGATCTGAAGTGTATGATGTTTATTTTGGAGTCATTGTTTATGAAAATTATGTGAGATTAGCATTGTATGGGGTTTTAACGCATGTCTTAACCTTTTTTTTCTTTCTATTCAACGAGAGATTCGAATCTTTGATTTTTTTTGGTCGATGATGTATATGCGACGCCCTGAATTTTACAAAAGTATGTGTAACGCCCTCCTAGCGATGAGATCCCACCAGATGGAGAAGAGACCAAAGCATTCTTTATAAGAATGTAGAAATTTCTTTTTAGTAGATGCGTTTTAAAAACTTTGAGGGGTAGCCCGAAAGGGAAAACCCAAAGTGGACACTGGGTGGTGTGCTAGCGAGAACGATGGACCCGGAATGGGTGGATTGTGAGATCCTACATCGATTGGAGAGGGAACGATTGTCAAAGAGGACACTAGGCCCAGAAGTGTGAGATCCCACATTGTTTGGAGCGTTTTAAAGATATATTTAAGGTTCATGTTTGCGAAGTTCATTAATAGTAAACAGAGATGTTCATTTAACTTGTGGAGACACACCGTAAACAGAAACAACATCACATCGAGAGAGGGGAGTGAGGGACCCACCTTAAACAAGGTGAGGAATACTCATTTAAACGGGAACGAGAGAGGGCAGTGAAAAGTGAGTTCTCTCTATTAATTAAACGGGGACAACGACAATACGTGCGAAGGAAATAGTACCATAAAATTAGAATTTTTAAAAATTAGGTTTAATATTATATTATATTTTTGTTTTTGAAATTTGTATTTTTTTTTTATTTTTTTATTTTAATAAAAATTATATTAGAAGGACAAAATTCGGCATAAAATTAAATTTTCGTAAAAATTGAAATAAAACCCTAATAGTAAATGTGAAGGAAAAGGAATAAGCTTTGCATTCAACGGTCCAATTGAAACGGATGAAGGGGAAAAAATAAATAAATAAATAAATAAATAGCAGACATAAAAGAACTAAGAAATTCTGCACCATTCCTTCACTTCCTTCCAATGGCTTCCTTATTTCTCAAAACGAGCCCAGAAATTCATCATCCCCTTTGATCATCTTCTTCAAATTCCCCGATTCTTCTTCATCTTCTTCCTTTTCTGGTCATCAATCATGAAATTCTCTCTGAAACTCCCTGATAATCAAGACCACAAATCCCCAATCGTAAAGGGGAAACTCCCAATCACCATGTTCAATCAACCCTTCACTTCCTCTTTCACTTCCGCCATTAATTCCTCTTCCGACCTCTCCTTTTCCCTTTCCACTAATTTCCCTTCCGGCCCTTGTTTGAAGCTCACTTACTCTCCTCTACCGCCCTCTTCTTCCGCCGCCTCCACGACTTGTCCGTTTACTCTCTCTCTCAAATCTGGGTTAGGGCTTTTTGGCTCACCGGAGGATTCTCCTCTTGTGTTTTCGTCTCGATTTTCTCTTTCCCTTACGAAACCCTTTGTTCCCACTTTCTCTCTTCTCTTCAAACCCCAATTTGGTCATTTTTGTCTCAAGAAGAGTACTGTTTCGAGCGTTAATGATCGGTTTTCTGTGTTTCAACCCAACGATGGGGTTCGCTTGGATTCTGGGTCGGATTCGAATCCGAAATTTGGTAATGGGTTTGCTGTAGATGAATCGATGGGATGGCAGGAGCTGAAGCTTGAGAGTAGTAGTAGCAGCCATGGTTCTCAGGAGGAGTTTGGAGGAATTCAGAAACGTTTGGCTGAGACGAAAAGCATTAGTGATAGTGTTTTGTCTGGTGTTGCTGTAATGGCAAGAACGGCCATTCCTGTTACTAACCGGATGGCTGTGAATTTCCGGTGGGGGATGAATTTTCCGACGAATCCGGTGCTGAAAATGCCATTTCTAACTGTGAATAAGATATCAGTGGAGAGAGTGGAAGAGGAGAAGGAAGAGAAGAAGAAGAAGAAGAAAAGAGGGGAGGACCAAGGGGGAGATGTGGAATTGTTGAAGGGTATGTTGTTTTGGATGAAGAATGATGTGGAAAGTTTGGAGAAAGAGAATAGAGAGATGAAGCAACTTCTAGAGGAGATAAAGCTTGGAAGTGTGGCTAATAGGGCTGCACCATCTTCTGGTTCGAGCTATGGCGATGTCGTCGAGCCATGGAGGAGGGAAGAAAGCAAGTCCAAGAACAGTAGGAATGGTGGACAAGAAAATGATTGGAGGAAAAAGAAGAGTTCTGAAGAAGAGAACGAGGGTAAGAACAGCAGGAAAGGCCATCGTTCCACGAATCGAGTGAACGAAGTTGAATCCGAATTGGAGAGAGCTATCAAGGCTGCTTCCCAAGCCAAGGCTTGAAGTAGTATTTGCCGTATATGATGTTCTTGGAATGTATATAGTTCCATTTCATTTACTGATGGACCCTCTGGAGTTCGAGGACGATAACACGGAAGGTTAGCAAGAATATTGCAGTTTCTTTATATTATCCATTGTTTCTTGATGGTAAACTGTTTGAAAATGTGGATATGAATTTATTTTTTATCTGCTTAATATACCTATGCAGTTTTACTTTGAAGTATGAGTGTGCATTTGATTAGATATGCCATTTGGATTCATGAATTGTACTAGAGTTGAGCGAGTTGTAGAATATGTTCTTGGGAGAGTTTCGTGTGTATGAGACCTTGCTGGTTAGGAAACTATTTCATTGATGATATGAATTATATACGAGAAGGGAAGGAGAACACTCTCATCATTTCTCTTTAGGTGAAAGGGTAAAAGGAAAGCTATGGTAACTTAACTTGACTTTGAAGGAGTGATCTCGAAAGCAAACGTGAAAGCAAACGTGAAAGCAAACGTTAAGAAGACGAGTCTTGTTTGGGAGAAAAATAGTTAGGGAGAAGCCCACGTCCTCTAGGCGTATGTCATTGTTGTAACAGCCCAAGCCCACCGCTAGCAGATATTGTCCTCTTTAGGTTTTTCCTTTTGGGCTTCCCCTCTAGGTTATAAAACATGTATGCTAGAGAGAGGTTTCTACACCTTTATAAAGAATGTTTCGTTCTCCTCTCCAACCGATGTAGGATCTCGCAATCCACCCCCTTAGGGGACCAGCGTCCTCGCTGGCACTCGTTTCTCTCTCCAATTAATGTGGGATCTCACAATCCATTCCCCTTCGAGGCTCAGCGTTCTCATTGGCACACCACCTGGTGCCCACTCCCCTTTAGGGCTCAGTGACCTCGCTATCACACCGCCCGATGTCTTGCTCTGATACCATTTATAACAGCCCAAGCACATTGTTAGCTGTTGATATTGTCGCTTTAAGTTTTCCCTTTTGGGCTTCCCCTCTAGGTTTTAAAACGTGTATGCTAAGGAAAGGTTTCTACACCTTTATAAAGAATGGTTCGTTCTCCTCTCCAACCGACGTGGGATCTCGTAATCCACCCCCTTGGGGGACCAGCGTCCTCGCTGGCACTCGTTTCTCTCTCCAATCAATGTGGGATCTCACAATCCATTCCCCTTCGGGGCTCGGCGTCCTCGTTGGCACACCACTTGGTACCCACTCCCCTTTGGGGCTCAGTGTCCTCGCTATCACACCGCCCAATGTCTTGTTTTGATACCATTTGTAACAGCCCAAGCCTACCGCTATCATATGTTGTCCTCTTTGGTCTTTTCTTATTGGGCTTTCCCTCAAGATTTTAAAACGCGTCTACTAAAGAGAGGTTTTCACACCGTTATAAAGAAATGATTCGTTCTCCTCTCCAACCGATGTGGAATCTCACAATTGTATCTTATAGAAGTAGGGACCTAACCCAAAGACGTTTTTAAGGGAAGGGGAAAGAGGAGATCCCTAGTACTTTTATTGGATTTGGCATACACCAATATATGGTGACATTATATTAACTTTTCGCTATCTCTGCAACCTCTTCCTGGGTTATCCATCTTTTTAGTTGAAACTCTATCTTGGGGTAAACTAAGTGAAATCCAAAACTGAGCTCCCCTCCTATTAGCCTTCGGTTTTCGTCTCCCATTTGCCACGACTTGGTCGAACCAACCTTCAGGATTGCTTCAATGCCGCCTGCCATGACGCCGAGTCCAACCGTCCACTCAGGCCAGCGACTTTGCTTTGCATCTTCCGTTGAGTGTCGACTTGTTTAGTTAACCTCGGAGAATTCCGAACACCGAGCATAGCGTGTTTGTTCTTGTTGGAGTCGACAGGTTAACTCCATTGATTAAGAAGAAGCTTGTGACTGCATCAGCGAATTTGTGGTTCCTGCTTTTCTTGTTTTATGTTGTTCATAATTTCTCGAGTAACCTTGTATTATTCGTGGCTGATTTTTGGTCCAAAGTTGAAGGTATGATATCTGCAGTTCGGTATCCTCAAAATCTAAAGAGGAAGATATTTATTAGGCTCGATTACCTGTTTTCTCTCGGACCGAGCATAATTCATCTCCAATCGACCATCATAAAACACACGAATCGACTGTAAGCAGCGAGACGAATCCAAGGTGAGGTAATATACATCCAATGAAAATGAATTTCAGGGTAATATATATCAAGTTAGATTGGGTCGGGTTTAGGTTAGATGGATTGTCGGTTTATTTTATTTAATGATCCAAAAAATCCTATCGGACATTTATATCAATAACTAAAATCTTATAGAGCTCAAATATCAAATATTTACAAGTCACAGTGCATCTCTAATTACATCAGTTACAAACTTCACATTTTCTAAATATTCATAATACCCTAAAAAACTAGGGTAGGGTTTAGTTGTCAACGGGATGGTCTAGATCGGTGAAATTCTCGAATCATATGAACACTCTTATTTTCAAAACTTTTTAAAATTCGACCGTAAATTTAAATAGAATTTAATGAAAATTAAAATAAGAAATGCACAACGTACCGTGCTAGAACACCATTACACCATTGCTTCAGTCACCATTTTTACTCTCAAATATTTATCATCGACTTGGAACTCTCAATCAGAGCTGTGTTAATGGCGGAGGATCATCGCCATAGATAATCACCTCGAGCTCGATCCCAAACTCCATCAACTCCTTACTCACTCCCTTCTCTTCCATCTCCATCTGCCAATTCCTTCGCCCTAGCTCCCTTTGCCGGTGGACATGGCCGCCTACCTCGTTATTCCTTCCTGTCCCTCCTCCTCTTACTCCTCCTCCTCCTCCTCCTCGCGCCGCACCTCCTTCCTCACCCGCAGAGATTCTCTCTCCGACTACTCTCGCTCTAGAAATTGCATTCGTTACAGCTTCGTACGTCTCTCTTCCTCTCTACGTCTCATTGCTTTCATTTCTCACTGGGGTTTATTTCGAAGTACAATTTGTGCAACGTTCTGATTCTGGATGTTTGAGAATTCCGACATGCGTGGTGGATGGATCGAAATTTTAATTTCTTCGATTAGCTGTTTTTTTTTTTTTTTTTTTTTTTTTTTTTTTTTTTTTTTTTTTTTTTTTTTTTTTTTTTTTTTTTTTTTTTTTT